CCCAAATACGTTTTTAAAAGATTTAAGCTAGTCAGTTAGCCAATAAACATTTATAGAAATTCTACTATCAGCATTGGGATATAGTAGTAGTATCACATGGCATTCTGAGATACTTCATCTGTCAGTTAGTTTTAACTTTCTCATTTTATTGTTTTATAAAACGATGATGATGTGGTAATGGCAGCCCTACAGCCCTAACTACAGCCCTGTTAAAAAGTATTAACTTTATTAAGTTCTCGAAAGGGGGTCAGAGAAGTTCAGTAATAACTAGAAGGTCACCCTTGTAGTAAGGGCCGGGCTAGAACCCTGGTTTATCTTTCTTTGAGACCACATCTGATTGCTCCTTAGCTTTGCTAGCGTGCTCACTGATCTCCTGCTTCTGGATGTTTCTCTTCTATTACGTAGGCCCCACATTCCCCTACATCTTTTGCTTGCTTACCCACTTTTACTTGTCTTGCTTCACTCATCTAAATGTGTCAAAGGTTAGAGATTAAACTTGAGACTTTTTTTTTCTTCCTAACAAGTTTGATAACCTCTAATTTGGTTTCACTGATTGCTTTACAAAATTAAAATCCGGATATTTTTCTCCTTTTAGAGTGGAATACTCATATTCTGATGGCGCTCTTACCCACTCAGAAATAGGCCGGAAGGATTCTTTTTGAAATTTTTGACTTTAGAGGTGACATGCTTATTTAACACTGGTGAGCAGGCAAGGTTCAACTCAGGAGATGTGGGCCAGGCACTGTGCTAGGTTCTATGGATATAATAGTGAATGAGGCACAGGAATAGAGATATTTGCCAGGGGCTACGTACTCTGACAAGGGGAGAGGTCTGTGGAGACACTTGACTGGGATTTGAGGGGTCAGGAAAAACATTCTAGAGGAATGTAGCAGGTCTGCCTTAAGAATGCTGTGGAGTATGGTGAGTGCATTTCTAAACCTTCACTGACCACAGTTTCAGGGAAGTGGGGGGCTAGCTCCTTCAGGCGTATAGATTGCCAGTCATCTCTAGGCTAGGACAACAGCTCTCTCACTTTAATATACTT